TCCCGAACCCCGGTCCTGGGCTGAGGGAGACGGCGCCCGGCGCCTGGAAGCTCCGGGCCGTGCTGGAGCAGCTGAGGCTGAGCCGCCGGGAGATCTCGGCGGCGGTGGAGGTGGTGAACCGGGTGGTGGACCACCTGCTGCGGAAACTGCAGCAGGGATGCGAGTCCGAGTTCAGGGGCGTGGGGCTGCTGCGCACCGGGAGCTACTACGAGCGCGTGAAGGTGAGCCGCCTGGGCACGCGCCCCCCGCACCCCCCGTACCCCCCTTTCGGAGTAACGCGAGCGCTTGCGCTTCTGGGGCTGGTGATGCAGCTCTAGTTAAAACGCGGTTTAATTAGAACTGTGTAGAATGAAAAAGAACCAACTACCCATAGACAAGACGATGTGGATGAACCTCACAGACACTGTTAGATGAAGTGAGATGTGAAGAGGATATCCTGTATGATTCAGTCTGTGTGATGTTCCCAAACAGGCAGATCTCACGTGTGGTGTTAGAGGTCAGCACAGTGGCTGCCTGGGTGGAGGGGGAACGATGCTGGGATGGGAATGGGGCAATTTAGAATGCCCGCAAAGCTCACTGTTCTCGCCGGGATTCAGCCACTTTTCTTTCTTTCTTGTTAAATTTATTTCTTTATTTTGGGGGGAAGTAATTAGATTTTTATATATTTATTTTTAATGAAGGTCCTGGGGATTGAACCCAGATCTCGTGCATGCTAGGCATGCATCAACGCCTGAGCTATACCACCCCCTCTCAGCCACTTTTCTTAAATAAATCCTTGCACTGTTTCAAGCCTTTGCTTAATTTACAGAGATAGAGATCTGAAAAAGTTGAATTTGACTATTTCTACCCGTGTTGTTATTGCTTTTATGGGAGAGTGGATTTTCAGAGACCTCTGTCTGAGGACTTCCTTCCCACTGACTTCAAGTGTTTGTTTCACCTTCTCAGCGTATCCCAGTCAGCTTGCGCTGCCACAACGAAATAGCACAGACTGAGCGGCTTAAAGAACATAAATTGATTTTTCTGGCCATAAGGCCAAAAGGCCATGATCAGGGTGCCAGAATGGTTAGGTTGTAGTGAGGACTCTGGTCCTGGTTTGCAGACAACCACTTCTCCCCGTGTCCTCACTGTGTTCTCCATACATGTGCGCAGAGAGAACTTTGGTATCTCTTCTTGTAAGTCCACCAGTCCTATCCGATAGGACCCCACCCTCCGGATCTCATTTAACCTTCATTACCTCCTAAAAGCCCTGTCTCTAACTTCAGTCGCATTGGGAGTTAGGGTTTCAATATGTGAATTTGGGGGGCAGGGCACTGTTAAGTACATAGCACAATAGGTCTCAATTTGGACTGGCCACAGTCACATGGTCAAGTAGACATGGGGCTACCAGGCACTGTGTTGAACACTACAGTCTAATAGCTGTGCCTCAAAAGTACCCCTAGCTCATTTAAGACGTGCACTTTTAATAAAGGAAAAATAATCATTTATTATAATTGCTTTGATTATTATTGTGATGTTGTAGATTTCTTTGAAGCTTGTAAAATGCTCTGGTTCAGAAACACTAATGTAGTATGTGACTTTGAGCTCACACTCACTTGGCTAACTGGTGACTCTAACAAGAAGGCCCTCACTCAAGTAGCCAGGAGGTGACTACACACATTTTTAAGGCCACTGTGACAGGAGGGTGGCTCAGTGTGCAGCTTGTGATGTAAAAGGTAGCACCTTAAAGATCTTTAATTTTATTAAACTGTAAACTCAAAAAAAAACTGGTACATGATATTATTTTAAGTTGCTTTAAATTATAAATACATACTTGTGGCTTAAGAAAATGAGTATAAAACCTATAAAATAAAACCAATAATATTCTCCCAGCTCCACTAATCCCATTCCCAGAGAGTGTAAATATTGGGAAACAGGATCTAAGTAGAAATTTCAAGAAAAAAATTGTAGCTGCTTGGAAAATATTCACAAGCAAACATTTCAGTGCTGTTTTCACTTTCTTAGGTTTCTGCTCCTAATGAATTTGATGTTATGTTCAAACTGGAGGTCCCCAGAATTGAGCTACAAGAATATGCCAACAGTGGTACTCACTACTTTGTGAAGTTCAAAAGAAATCCCAAAGGAAATCCTCTGAATCAGTTTTTAGAAGGGGAAATACTATCAGCTTCTAAGATGCTGTCCAAGTTTAGGGCAATCATTAAGGAAGAAATTAAAAATATTGAAGGTAAGATTTCTGAATTTTGATTCTTCTTTTTAAATGAGTGATGTTTTTCTATTTTTAAATTTTGGGGGGGGTAATTAGCTTTTCCTTCTTCCCTTCCTTCCTTCTTCCCTTCCTTCCCCTTCCTTCTTGATGGAGGTACCGGGGACTGAGCCCAGGACATTGTGTATGCTAGACAGGCTGTCTACCCCTGAGCTGCACTCTGACGCTGAGCTACACCCTCCCCCCTGAACTGTGACTCTTAAAAGTTATGATCATACCTACTGATTGCCAGTGCACACTCCTTCCTTGCTCTTTCTTGATCTCCCTGCAGCAGATTGTTGACTTCCGCCCGCTAGAAACAAGTCCTTGTTCTTGGTGTTAGTGAGCCACAGTCCCTTGGTATTCTTCCTAAGTGTTGATTGGCTCTATATTGGTCTACACCGAATATTCACTGACCTGCCTACCCTGCGGGGTGTAAGTGGTTGATAAAATCGGTGGCATCCCCTCTGGAAGCCTGAAGCTTGTAAACACACATCCCAATTCCTGCTGTGAGGGCATGGACTGGGAGGGGTGGGAGCGGGTGAGGTGGGGTGGGGTCGGATTGGGGGGCAGACTCAGGTCCCAGGCAGAAAAGAGCTGGACAGGCTCAAGGAGCAAAAAGAGGTCCTGTGGACAAGGAGGGAGAGGGACATGAGATGAAGAGGTGACCAGGGCCAAACTATGCAAGGACTTGTACATCCTGGAAGGGAGTTCAGCTTTTGTTTTGAGAAGCCAGGTTTGAATGAGAGAATGATGGGTGGCTTCGTATTTTAAAAAGTTACTCTGACTTCTGTGGATATTGGAAAGGCAAGTATGACAACAGTTCAGGTGAAGGATGGTGGCGGCTTCGGTGGGGGTCCGGTAAGGGCCTGGGGGACATATCCATCTGTGTGCCAGGGGTGTGAGGGTGGAGTCAAAGAAGGCTCCCAGTTTCCTAGATTGAGACCCGTGTGCATTGACTGTGCCCTTTTCTCCAATAGGAAGGGCTGATGACCATATTTTGAGACATGAATTAAGAGGCCGGCTCTGGATATGCTGAGTTAGACATTCTTGTGATGTGTGAATGTATCAAGTACATAGTCGGATGTGGGTTTGGAGTTCAGAGATGCGGGTGGGCTGCCCGTAAACATAACACATGGCATTGACAGTGGATGAGACCACGTAGGTAGAGAGTATAGATTCCTTTTTCATTAATTTCATCAATAGTCATCAGTCATCTGATGTGCCACGTGCGCTCGGTATTTGGGATCTGTTAATGAACAAATAGATGAAGTCCTTCACCTTTCCGAAGTTGATAATCACGTAAGGGCAGACGTGTGATGAGTAACAAGTGGAAAACATAATTATCTTGTAGAGTAGAAAGTAGAAAGTCCTGGGGTGAAAGAGTATAGCAAAGTCAGGGGGATCAGGGGTGCCAGACATGGTACTGGTGGGGGAGATGGCAGTGTTAAGTAGAGTGGACCCCATTAGAGGTTGGGGAGGAGGGAAGGAGACCGCTAGTCTTGCCAGGAGTGGTCAGTGTCTGCAGGGGTGCTGACATCCAGAATGCTTTGGTCCTTGGTTTGTTTTGTGGGGAGTGGGGTGAGTAGCTGTGACTTAGCAGTTTCAGTGGGTCATGAGCATGAGAAGGGGAGGAGGGTGCAGGGATGCGGTGGAGACAGCATGTGTGGGCAACTGTTTGGAAAGTGCTGGCTGTGAGGAAGTAGGAAGATGGGTGAGTGTGGGGAGGTTGCAAATGCAGGGTTGTGGGAGGGGAATCTGAGAATGAGAGATCCTGGAATGACCCAGCGGGGAAGGGAGGCTGCTGACATGGGGAGGGAGCACATGGAGGGGTGGGTGCTTGACAAGGCAGAGGGAAGGGACCTGGAGACCATGGGCGGGGGTGGCCTTCGGAAGGGGGACAGGCACTTCCCTGGTGGTAGCAGGATGAGAGGAGAAGATAGTGGATGAAAGGTGGGTGAGTTTATAGATTCAGTAATAAGATTTTTTTTCTAGTGGAGGCACTGGGGCTTGAACCCAGGACCTCACGCATGCTAAGCATGCACTCTGCGTCTGAGCTATACCCTCCCAACTCTGCTATAAGACATGAGGGCACGCTCGGATTTTCTCCTTGGCGCTCTGGTCCTGCCACTGTGGCCCCGTCCCGAAGTCTTGTCCAGAAGGGGCTTTGACTCCAGCTTGTACACCCCAAAACCCAAAGCCAGGGTCTCTTCCCTAGAGGCCTTCCCAGAGTTTCTGACCTGCCCAGCGGTTTAAGTCTACCTAGGTGTCCCGCAGCCACTGAGAGATCAGGGCGTCTGAAATGAATTCATCTCGGCCCGCCTTTCTTTGTCCTGCTCACTCTGAATTGCAGAACAGAATCGGCATCGACCACTTCTCAGGTCAGGACTCATGCCTTCTTATCTCCCAGATTCAGCCCATCTCCCAGCTGTTACCTTGACCCTCTGATTGCTTTCACTTCTCTACCTGTGCCTCTTTTGTGTTTTTTTAAATTGAAGTGTAGTCAGTTACAATGCTGTGTCAATTTCTGGTGTACAGCATAATGGTTGCAGTCATACCGACACATGCGTATATTCCTTTTCATATTCTTTTTCATTATAAGTTACTGTTTTGGGGTTTTTTGGGAGGGAGAGATAATTAGATTTATTTATTCATTAATTTTTTTCTTTTAATGGAGGTACTGGGGCTTGAACCTAGGACCTCATGCATGCTAAGCATGCACTCTACCACTGAGCTATACCCTCCCCCACCATGTGTGCCTTTTTAAAAGAAATAGAAACTACATATCTGGGGTATACAGCGTGATGACTTGATATACATAAACACAATGAAGTGATTACCATGGTCAAGCTGATTGACACACCTCCTCACATAGTTACCTTTTGGTGTGTGTGGTGAGGGCACCTGAAACCCATCCTCTTGGCACATTTCCCGAATTCAGTACAGTAGCATCAACAGCAGTCGTCATGCTGTACCTTAGATCTCTAGACCTCCTCGGCCCGCTTAACTGTAACTCTGGTCTCTCTGATGACCCTCTCCCTGCTTCCCCCACCTCTCTGCCCCCGTAACCACCCTCTACACTTGCTCCTATGGATTCAACTTTTTTAGATTCGATGTATAAGTGACAGCATTTGCCTTTCTGTGTCTGGCTTATTTCACTTGACATCACATCCTCCAAGTCCATCCACATCACAAGTGGCAGGTTTTGTTCCTTGTGAAAGCAGAACAATATCCCTCATCTGTGAATGCCACGGCCTCTTTGCCTGTTCATCCTCCGTGGGCACGAGGTTGTCTCTGTGTCTTGGCTGTTGCAGACAAGGCTGCAGTGCCCGTGGGCTGTTCGCCGTGTCTCGATGCTCACTGCCTCTGGGTTGGGGTCGCTCTGGCCTTCCCTGCTGCTCATCCAAACTGCTGTCCATACATTTAAGTGAAAATTTAATCACAGCCCTCCCATTCTCCAGCGTCTGAGACTCCTCATTTTAGATACCAGACAGAATCTTTCTTTTTTTTAAATTTTATCTTGTTGTTGTGGAGGAGGTAATTTGGTTTTTTAAAAAACCTATTTATTTTTAATGGAGGCACTGGGGATTGAACCCAGAACCTTGGCACATCAAGTGTGCTCTCTGCCACTGAGCTATAGCCCCCACCACCCGTAGAACTAATTTTCACCTTACACTTAGCACTATGTGTATCTCCAAGTATATTTATGTTCCCTCTATTTTCAGAGAAAATTGGGTTGATCAGTCCTTTCTTCCCTTTTCTGTGTTGAAGCAGACACAGATGTCATTGTGGAGAGGAAGAAAAAAGGGAGCCCAGCTGTGACACTTCTGATGAGAAAACCTATGGAAATATCTGTGGATATAACCCTGGCTCTGGAGTCCAAAGGCAGCTGGCCCGCCAGCACCCTCAACGGCCTGCCCATCAATAGGTGGCTTGGAGTAAAAGTCAGGAACGATATGAGACGAAGGCCTTTTTACCTGGTCCCCAAGCATGCCAGGGAAGGAAGTGGGTTTCAAGGTATCTGGAATGTGGTGGTTAATGTTAAGACATAGATTCAAGTGATGGGGGTATTGATAAACATAAAGGTTGCTCCTGGAATTATAGAATTGGTAATTTAAAAGCATTAGATACAAGAAACTGTCAGCTATGTCCATTGAGTACTCTGATTTTAATGTTGATATGGAACAAAGACAACTTTTTTTTTAGGCTTTTATCTTGAACACAGTGTCTGGACTTGAAAAAAGATATTGCGTATCCCAACGGTCAGTGGTCTTCCAGGGAGTGATGCTCAGGGGTAAATATGATTTGAACCTAATGCATGTTTAGAGAGTGTCTAAAACTCAGACCAGGCAGCTCCATCTCCTCTGACCCTGAATATAGTCCTAAAGTAAACTGCTGAGGAAACTGCGTCCCAGAGATGACAGGTGAGGAGTTTTTGAAGTGCGTCCACGTTCTGCTGGAGATCACAGAAGCCCGACTGACTGACGTGACAGCTGTTGATTGAGCAGAAGTTCTTTTTGGAAGGGATATCTTGAAGATTATGACTCAGACATTGGAGGAACTAAGGTGACGGGCAGTGGAAGGAATCGGAACGTGTGAAATGCTTCGAAAATTTATTGGCTGAAATAATTTTGCCCGTATTGCACAATTGAAAAAAAAAGCAAACCCTTTACACTTTTTGTAGGAAAAGCCAGCATGTATTTTTGCCTTGAAGTTTCTCTGGCATTCTCCGTGGAGGGAACGGTAACACCAGGTACAGCTGGGACGTCCTCACACATGCAGTCGTGGGCGTGTGCAGGGCTGCTCACCTGGGGAAATTCTCCTGCCCTCGGTCTGTCTTGGGCGTATGCGTCTTGCTCTGCTTTCTCTTCCTTTTGCTGTTGCACTTAAGCTAACTGACGGTATAATCTGTAAGAAACGTGTATGGAATTAAAGACAAACATTTAAGGAAGAAGACATCCATATGAAAGTTGTTACTGTTAGATGCGTGGGCAGGGAGAGGGCCGCTGTGCTGTTGGCATTTGATGGGAGGTAAAATTGGAAAGGGCGTGCCTGTACCAGTAGCACCAAATACTCAGCTCTGAAACATCTGCCAGCCCAGCCTGCATTTGAAGGTTGGTTTTATTTGTAATAGAGAAAAGGCAGTACTGGCCTTGGAGCCAGACTGCCCTGCATCCGAGTCCTGAGGCCTCTCCCCTCACGAGCTGTGTGCTCTTGGACTAGTTTTCAGTTTTGTTTCATAACTGTATAAAGCATTCCCATGGTTCCAAAGTCAAAGCTGCAGAAGAAAGTAGTCTTAGAGAAACATAACGTCCCTTGATCTTCCCTCCACACCCTTCTCTCCTCCCCTGCTCGGAAACCCTTTCATTGTTTTCGCTTTACTTTTCATTTTTTAAAAATACAAGGAAACACACACACACACACATATATGCAACCCCCCCTTTTTAAGATAAAAAGGTACATACACCTTTCTGTTTTCACTTACTAAGTTATCTCAGATACCACCGCATGGCTCTCTATAGACAGCAACCACTCCTTTCCATAGCTATTTTTACAGCTGGTCAAGGAGTAGTGAATCCACGTCTAACGCTGCCAGATATTGCTGAAATCCCCTCCGTATGGGACTCAGCAGCTTGCATTCCCACAGCGATGTATGGGAGTACCGATTTTACACTCAGCTTTATCAACAGAACTTGTTAAACTTTGGAAATTTTGCCAGTAATCCCAAAAGTGAGAAGTGATAACTCCATGCAGTTGTTTAAAATAAACTTTTACTTTTAGAAAAGCTTTAGATTTACAGAAAAATTAATAGTCTAGAGAGTCCCTACATAGGAAATAGGTGTGGGGTATTTCTCTGTTCTTAGCATCTTACGTTAATGTGACACGCTTGTCCCAATTAGCGAACCAGTACTGATGCAGTCTTATTAACTGCACAGTCCACAGTTTATTCAGATTTCCTTAGTTTTTACCTGATGTCTCTTTTCTGTTCCAAGAGCCCACCCAGGACACCACATTGCATTTGGTCATCTGGTCCCCTTAGTCTCCTCTGGACCATGACAGTTTCTCAGTCTTTCCTTGTTTTTGATGACCTTGACAGTGTAGAGGAGTACCAGTCAGCTGTTTTGTAGAATTTGCCTCACTGGGCATGTATCTGGTGGTTTTTTGTGATTAGGCTGGAGATTTGGGTGTGGGGAGGAAGGCGCAGAGGTGAAGTGCCCTCTTATCCCATCCCATCCCATCACACATCCCATCTCATCTCATCCCATCCCATCCCATCCCGTCCCACATCTCATCATATCCCATCCCATCCCATGACATCGCATCCCATTATGTGCAGTGACCCTGAGTTAGCACTGCCGCTGGTGCCCTTGACCCTGGCTGAGGGTGTGTTTGTCGGGGTTCTCTGCTGTTCAGCTACTCTTCTCTCCCTTTTCATCCTGTGCTGTTTGGAAGGAAGTTGCTATCCACAGCTCGCACCTAAGGAGAGCAGAGTGTTTACACAGATTATGTGGAATCCTCCTGTGGGGGAGGTTGATCTTTCCCCCCTTTTGTTTATTTACTTAAACCGTATCAGTGTGGACTCGCAGATACTCGTCTCATATTTTGGGCTATAATCCAGTAGAGCTTTCATTTTCTTGCTTAAATTATTCTGACTTTGGCCTCTGGGATCTTTCAGGTGGTTTCTGCGTCCTTTGGACATACCTCCCGTAATTGTGGAGTGTTTTTCTTTCTTGTTTTCAACACTAACTCACTTTCTGGCTCTGCAGGATGCTCCTGGCTCATCTGGTCTAGTTCCTGCTTCCGTCCTAGAACCAGCCATGTCTGCCAGGAGCCCTGGATCCTTTTACTGGAGAGTGTACTAGGAACTAAGCTCGGGGAGCTCTGTGTGCTCTGCCACTAGGGGGTCATCTGGGAGGAGCAAGGAAGCCTGTGTATGTATACTAACCCCAGCGTGTGCACGAACCTGTAGATAGTTCTGTACGTCAGGACCTGTATCTGTAGTCAGAGAAACGTGACTTGTACTGACATCTCTCCCACAGCCTGTGATCACACACGTCATTCATACCTTCTATCCTCACCATCTGCAACCTCTCATTCCAGCAATGAGAAACTTGCTCCTACCTCTGCCGTCCACCCACCCACGCCCCTGTCCCCCGTTCAGGTCCAGGCCAAGTGCACGGACATCTCGGGATTGTACACACAGGCCCCATGTGTGCAGGGTGCATGCTCCATTCCTTTTGCCTTCAGCTTACAGACCCCATTTCTAAAGGAACTCGTGTCGGCACCTTTTTGCCCCCACCGTCTTCAGGGAGGTTGTGTCACACGTTAGTAATACAGTTAGAGCCCCTTTTCACAGTGTGACTTACTTCCCAAGACACTTGACTTTCTAAATGATTTTTTTTCTTTTTTTAAGTATAATTTGATTTACAATGTTGTATTAGTTTCTGGTGTATACCATAGTGATTCAGTTATACATATATATGTATATATGCATATTTTTCATACTCTTTTTCATTATAAGTTACAAAATACTGGATATAGTTCCTTGTGCTATACAGAAGAAACTTGTTTATTTTATATATAGTAGTTAGTTTTTGCAAATCTCAAACTCCCAGTTTATCCCTTTCCACCCCCTTTCCCGCCTGGTAACCGTAAGTTTGGTCTCCATGTCTATGAATCCTTTTCTGTTTTATAAATAAGTTGATTGCTATCTTTTTTTTTAGATTCCACATGTAAGTGATATCATACGGTTTTTCCCTTTCTGACTTGCTTCACATAGTATGATAATCTCCAGGTCAATCCATGTTGCTGCAAATGGCATTATTTCATTCTTTTTTATAGCTGTGCAGCATTCCATTGTGTACATATACCACATCTTCTTTATCCAGTCATCTTTGATGGACATTTAGGTTGCTTCCATGTCTTGGCTGTTGTAAATAGTGCTGCTGTGAACACTGAGATGCATATATCTTTTCAAATTAGAGTTCCCTCTGGATATATGCCCAGGAGTGGGATTGCTGGATCATAACTAACTCTGTTTTTAGTGTTCTTTTGAAGAAACCTTTGTACTTTTCTCTATCATGGCTGCAGTAATTTGCATTCCCACCAACATTGTGGGAGGGTTTCCTTTACTCCACACCGTCTCCAGCATTTATCCTCTGTGGACTTTTTAATGGTGGCCATTCTGACTGGTGTGAGGTGATACCTCATTTTGGTTTTGATTTGCATTTCTCAGAAAATTAGCAATACTGAGCATCTTTTCATGGGTCTGTTGGCCATCTGTATGTCTTCTTTAGAGAAATGTCTATTTAGGTCTTCTCATTTTTGACTGAGTTGTTTTGGGTCTTTTTGATATTGAACTGTGTGAGCTGCTTATATATTTTAGAAATTAATCTCTTGTCGGTCTCTTGTTTGCAAATATTTTGTCCCATTCCATAGGTTGTCTTTTTGTTTATGGTTTCCTTTGCTGTGCAAAAGCTTTTAAGTTGAATTAGATCCCATTTGTTTATTTTTGTTTTTATTTCCATTACTGTAGGAGACAGACCCCAAAAAATATTGCTGTGATTTAAGTCAGAGTGTTTGTTCTGCCTATGTTTTCCTCTAGGAGTTATATAGTGCTTGGTCTTACATTTAGGTCTTTAATCCATTTTGAGTTTATTTTTGTATAGGGTGTTAGAGAATGTTCTAATTTCAGTCTTCTACAGGTAGCTGTCCAGGTTTCCCAGCACCATTTACTGAAGAGACTGTATTTTCTCCATTGTATATTCTTGTCTCCTTTATTGTAGATTAATTGACTGTAAGTGCATTGGTTTATTTCTGGACTTTCTGTCCTGTTCCATTGATCTTTGTGTCTTGTTTCTGTGCCAGTACCATACTGTTTTTGTTACTGTAGCTTTGTAGTATAGTCTGAAGTCAGGGAGTGTGACTCCTCTAGCTCCATTCTTCTTTCTCAATATTGTTTTGACTATTCAGGGTCTTTTGTGTTTCCATACAAGTTTTAAAGTTTTTTGTCCCAGTTCTGTGAAAAATGCCACTGATAATTTATAGGGATTGCACTAAATCTGTAGATTCCCTTGGTTAGTGTGGCCATTTTAACAATATTGATTCCTTCAATCCAAGTACACGGTGTTGTATTCAGTTTCTTTCATCAGCGTCTTACAGTTTTCAGGGTACAGGTTCTTTGCCTCCTTAGGTAGGCTTATTCCTAGGTATTTTATTTTTTTTGATGGACAGATGGTAGATGGAATTGCTTCCTTAATTTCTCTTTCTGATTGAGTTGTTAGTGTATAGAAATGCCACAGATTTCTGTGTGTTAATTTTGCATCCTGCAGCTTTACTGAAATTCATTGATGAGCTCTAGTAGTTTTCTGGTTGCTTCTTTAGGGATTTATATGTAGAGTATCATGTCATCTGCAAACAGGGGCAGTTTTACTTCTTCTTTTCCAGTTTGGGCTCCTTTCATTTCTTTTTCTTCTGATTGCTGTGGGTAGGGCTTCCAAAACTATGTTGAATCAAAGTGGTGAGAGTGGCGTTCTTGTCTTGCTCCTGATCTTAGAGGAAATGCTTTAAGCTTTTCACCATTGAGTATGATGTTAGCTGTGGGTTTGTCATATCTGGCCTTTATTACGTTGAGATATGTTGCGTCTATGCCCACTTTCTGGAGAGTTTTTTTTAAATCATAAATGGATGTTGAATTTTATCGAAAGTTTTTTCTGCATCTATGGAGATGATCATATGGTTTTCATTCTTCAGTTTGTTAATGTGCTGTGTCACATTGATTTGTGGATACTGAAAACTAAATGATCTTTTAAAAGTTTGTGTACATTAAGGTTCACTCTTTTTCTGTGTGTGTGTTTCCTTACTATAGTATAGTCAGTTTATAGTGTCATGTCACTTTTCGGCATAAAGCATAAAGGTTCACTCTTTGTGCCATGAAGTTCTGCTGGTTTTGATAAATGCAGTGTATCGTGTATCTATGATTGCATAAAAGTTTCACTTCCCTAAGATGTCTCCCTTGCTTCACTTATTCAGCCCTCTTCCTCCCAAACTCTGGCCACCACTGAACTGTTCACCACCTCTAGTACAGCCTGCCTTTTCCAGGGTGGTGTGAGTGCGTGATGTAAGTGGGTGTATGCAGCGGCTGTGAGCACACCTAGTGTGGGGCCCCACTTCCGTATGTCGATTGCTGTACATGGTGTAACTGTACTTCACTCTTTATTCTGTCCCATAAAGATCTTTCTCTGTCCTTGCTCTCTACTGTGTTGTCATATGGGATGTGGCTTTGTAAGTCTTGATATCTGGTCTCCCACTTTGTCCCTCGTCACAAGCGTTTTGGATATTCTTGACCCTTTGCTGTTTTCATAAAGATGTTGGGATCACCTCGTCAAGTTCCACAAAAACATTTTTTTCAGAGTTTTGATTGAGAGTGCGTTGAATCTGCAGGTGAATTTGGGGAGATCTGCTATATTTACAATAAGGAGTTTCTAATCCACGTACAGCTGCATGTCATCATTTACTTAGATTTTCTCTAATCCTTCTCAGTGAAGCTTTAGAGTTTCTCCACAGAAGTTCTGTGTATCTTTTGTTAGATTTACTCATAGGCAATTGTAACTTTTTATTATGAAAAATTTTAAACCGATAGAAAAGTAGACTGAGGATTATATTGAACTCAAACACACCTGTCACCAGCTTCTTTTGTATTTTCTACATACACAGTTATATCATCGATTAATAGTAATAGCTTTGTTTTTCTCTTCCCTGTGCTGTAACCCCATTTTCCTTCTGTGTGTGTTCAGAGAGCCAGTGTGTGTTGAATACATAGCAGAAGCCTGCCTTCCTGATTTCAAAGGAGAAACTTTAGTGTCTTACTGTAGATTATCGTGTTGCTGTGTTTTTTGTTTTTTTAGTACAGTCAACTACAGTGTGTCAATTTCTGGTGGACAGCACAATGTCTCAGTCATGCATATACATACATATATTCATTTTCATATTCTACTTTTCATTAGATCAAGTTTCCACCCACATTTAAATCACTGAGAGTTTATTTTAAATGATGATGAATGTTAAATTTTCTTTCTTTATTGAAGTACAGTCAATTACAATGTGTCAACTTCTGGCGTACAGCACAACGTCCCAGTTATGCATGTACATACATATATTCGTTTTCATATTTTTTCCGTGAAAAGTTATTATAAGATATTGAAGATAGTTCCCTGTGCTATATTGAAGAAACCTTTTTTTTTAAATCTGTTTTTGTATATAGTGGCTAACATTTGTAAATCTCAAACTCCCTGATTTATCCCTTCCTACCCTCTTTCCCTGGTAACCATAAGATTGTTTACCATGTCTTGTGAGTCTGTTTCTGTTTTGTAGATAAGTTCATAGTGTCTTTTTTTTTAGATTCCACATATGAGTGATATCACATGGTATTTTTCTTTCTCTGTCTGACTGACTGCACTTAATATGATAACGTCTAGGTCCATCCGTGTTGCAGCTGATGGCACATGGCTTCTCCCCCCTGCTTTTTCCTATCTTGGCCCATTGTTTGCTTATTCAGATCACTTGTTTTAGTAGGTAATCACATTATTTATCTGTTCACCTCTTTTGGCCTGTCTCCGCCTGGCAATTTTTCAGAATGCCATTTAAATGAAGGAAATGACTGAAATATTGTGTTGTTTGTATACAGATGTGTTTGGTAAAGTGCTTTTCTGTTTTTCTTTTGGAAATTAAGAAGAGACGTGGAGGTTGTCCTTCTCTCACGTTGAAAAGGACCTTTTGAAAAACCATGGGCAAGCTAAAACATGCTGTGAAACTGATGGAGTGAAATGTTGCAGGTAACTTCCTTGTTTTATTACCGGACAGAGCATCAACGGAACGTTTAATTCTTTGTTGACCCCATAGCTCAGACCTGAAGATGATCATGGCTGGGTTGACCTGTATTAGAGCGTGAGCGTGGAGCAAGGAAGCCAGGTCCCAGGGGCCAAAGGAAGAGTGCTGGTGGAAGGCATGGCGAGGGCATAGTCCTGAGCCTGACTATGGGTGTACAGAGGAGGACAGAGTCAGGGTGTGAACACCAGGCAGGACTAGCCGTGACAGCTGAATTTGTCCTAGTGTTCTGGTTGCCTCAGGGTAATGAGTATTGATGCCGCATAGCGGGAGGAGGTCAGAGGACCACTCTTACTGGATGTGGGTGCTCGCTTTGAGACGGTTTGTCTGCATTCAAGGCCAGGGACTGACCACCCAAATCTGAAACCACACTAAGAGATGGGTAATTACTTTCCTTGGTACTTCCTTGATTGCCGCTTGGAGGAGGTAGCGGGGGTTGAACTGGGGACCTCTTGATTGCTGAGCGTGTACTCTGCCGCTTGAGCTGTACCCTTCTGCCAAAAAGAAACTGCTCTTGAAAAGGAATCATCTGTGGTTCTAAAGTTGTCCAGAGTAAGGGCCACAAAAATTAAAAGGTCGAAACAAGAACGTCCAGTGTGCAGGCCCAGGAGGTTCTTTGTTTTGCGGGGCGGGGGATAATTGGGCATTTATTTATTTATTTATTTAAATGGAGGCACTGAGGATTGAACCCAAGACCTCCCACATGCTAAGCATGCTCTGTACCACTGAGCTATACCCTCCCCCCAGGAGGTTCTTGAGGCTTCATCTAAGGGCCTTTGAAGCAAGCATATTAAGAAACATATATTGCTGATAAGGCTCAATAACTACATAAACATTAAATTTTGTCAACTACAAATAGCTGGATAATTAATGTAAATGTTGCAGCCTAGTAAAGCAAAACCATTTTATAAAAATTAAAACATGATTTTTCCAGGTACTACATAACTGGATGACTACTATAAATGTCTGCCCAGTTTCATGTATTGAATTAATCCTGATAGAATAAAATATTTAAGGTAGGAATGGAGGAGAAAGAAGGAAAAAAATGTATTTTTGAAACTTTTTTTTTAAGTTGAGGTGGTCAAGTGGTCAGACTATTGAAAATAGTCAGTTTAGAGTGTTGTGTCAATTTCTGGTGTACAGCATCATGTTTCAGTCATACATAGACACATACTCCTTTTCATATTCTTTATTATAGATTACTACAAGATACTGAATATAGTTCCCTGTGCTCTAAAGAAGAAACTTGTTTATCTATTTTGTATTTCTATTTTTTAAGCTTCTTTTTTTTAAGTGTTAAGCATTTATTCTTAAATGTGGGAGAAAATGAAAAGATTATCACAGTAGTATAGAAATGAAGCCGTCTATTTGCAGCAATGTGGATGTCCCTGGAGAATGTCATTCTAAGTGAAGTAAGCCAGAAAGAAAAAAAAATACCACATGAGATTGCTAATATGTGGAATGTAAAGAAAAATAAATTAAAAAAAATAAATGAGCAAAAATACAAAACAGAAACAGACTCATAGACATAGAATACAAACTTGTGGTTGCCAGGGTGGGGGAGGGTGGTGGCGGGAAGGGACAGACTGGGAGTTTGAAATTTGTAGATACTGACGGGTATATATAGAAAAGATAAACAAGATTATACTGTATAGCACAGGGAAATATATGAAAGATCTTGTGGTAGCTCATGGTGAAAAAGAATGTGGCAATGAATATATGTTCATGAATAACTGAAAAATTGTGCTCTACACTGGAAATTGACACAACATTGTAAACTGACTATAATTCAATAAAACAAAATTAAAGAACAAAACACAGCCATCTAGCCACATGGTGCTCATAGGTGATACACCTTTTTTTTATTGCAGTTATTTTTGAAACTTTTAAAGCATACATTTGAAAAAATCATTAGGTTTTAGAGTGACTTTATAATTATGTTATTTTATATATCTTTATTGTTTATTATATCTTGTTTTCTGTATCGTATGTATTATAATATCTGTACTTTTTATTATATCGTTACATGTTTTTTCCTGTTGAGGTGCCTAAAGCTCATTATAG